GCGGTTGTTCTCCCAGTAGGGGTGCCGGTTGCCGCGGCTGTCGGCGCCGAACCCGAAGACGTTCACCTGCGGTGGGAGAGGAGCGGGGTGAGAGGCAGCCCTGACCCCCGCCGGGCTGGGGACCCCCTTGGCCGAGCACCCGGGGGGGATTTCGCACCGTGCCGGAGGCGTACATCCCCCAGCACAGCCTTCAAGGGTGCCCATCACCATTAGGCAACGGGGAGCAAGCGGAACTGCTGCGGTTGGACCCAAAGAAGCCACCTCCGTCCTAAACCCTGCCACGTTTGGGATCCCAGCGAAGCCACCCCATACCAGCAGGGACCCCGCAGCCCATCCGGAGGAGGACGGCGAGGAGCCATCACCCACCTCGTCGCAGACGTGGAGGGCGAAGAAGAGCACCAGCATGCCGGTGGAAGGGTAGCGCCCGTGGTGCTCCGTCCAGCGGTCGTGGATGTACTTGAAGAAGGCAGGGTTGTAGATCTGCACCTGGGAGGAGGAGCTGGGGTTAGCGCCGGAGCCGCGCTCCCTTCGACGACGTCCGCACCCCGGGAAGGAGCGCCAAGACATGTGGGGGGACCGCTGGGGAAGATGGGGTGACAGGCGGTGCTCATCACAGCAGTTGGGACGAGCCCACCTTTACCTTTTCTTTGTCCACCCGCAGAAAAGGCTTCACGGGTGCGTAGGTGCTGGGGGAAAAAAAGCCGGAGAGGCGCAGGTGAGCTCCTGGGGGGGGTTCCACACCCCCACCAAACCCCAGCCTGAGCTGCCAAAGGGACCAGCAACGCCGGGGGATGCTCCAGGAGGGAAGAACCGATGAATCCCCACCGCTCCCGGGGGGAGCCCAGTGCCCGCTGGGTACTTACAACCTGATCTGGCCGGTGGAGAGGGCACTGGCGATCCAGAGCAGGTCCAGGGTTTTGAAGGGCACCAGCACGAAGCTGACGTTGGCCGGCAGGTTCTTGGCACTCTCGGGGTACATGAAGTGGTGGGTGGTCCGACTGCCCACGTCGCCCTCGAAACCCACCGTGGGGGCCTGGTTCATCCTGGGGAGAGAGCGGGGAAGGTGGCACCCCCTCCTCCCAGCCACCCCATTCCTTGCAGGTGACACGGGTGTCCCCCAATGAGCTGTTGAACGCTGCCGAGGAGCGGTTTCCCAGCCCGCGGATGCTCAGGGTGCCGGGATGACCTGAGGGAGCTGGTGGGACCCATGATGGGCTCCTTGACTGAGCCGCGCCGCGGCCGTGGCATACAGCACAGGTAGAAACCCCCCCAGGTGTCTCCCAACCCACATTTGACCCTGAGAGACGCCGCTGTGGTCCACTGTGGGAGCTCAGCACCCACCGGGGCTGCCAGCATCGCCCCATGCCTCCACGCTGCCCACGGGGCTGAGGAGGCAGGGAGTCCCCGCACATTCCCCGTCCCGGCAGCCGTCCCCTGCCCTCACCGCATGACGAAGTCGTGCCCGTCGATCTCCGGCCCGTAGCCGGAGCCCCGCAGGTTGCCCGAGTTGCCGACCACGGCGCAGCGGCGGCAGCGGCGGGGGGCTGGGGGGGGGGGGGGGGCCGCC